TTGACCATCCAGGATTATCTGCTTTCTTGGTGCTTGGTGAGCCAGGAATGGTTGCGATGGAAGATCCATCATGTAGTAACAGTTTCAGACTTTTCTGAGACCTAAACAAGGCTGTACTGAGGCTGATTGCCTCGGGCTTGTCTTGGACTTATAATCCTTCAAAATCCAATGGCAATAGCCAAGAAAGCAGCTGTGTCCACCCTAAATGCCCGCTGTCTGGTCCTCATTTTCCCAGGCTGCCTGAGCACGCTTTGAGAGTGCTGACCTTGACAACCCCCCCCCCCCCCCCCCCCCCGGGGCCGGTTTGTTCTCACTGCAAGGTCAGAGGCACAGCCTGAACTGTAGGTGTGGTTGAATTTTGACTTGAATTCCAGTTAAAGGTAGAGTTGCATTTGATACTCAACATTCTATACATGAAATATAAGCTACCTCAGAACAATGGAAATTCTTGATAATGGCAAAGCAAACCATTTTGGGTTTGTATTGTACCTTTTCTTTTCTACTCAAGCATTTTGTAGTGGGGAAAAAAGGACTGGGATTGCAGTGTTTTTTAGTGGTTCCAACTAGCTATCTTCCTCTGCCCCCTAGTGGCCTCATGACAAATTGTAAGACCCTTCATGTTTCTTCTCAATTTCCCTAGTTGCTTGTATTCTTACAGTTTTTGTTATTGTTCATGAAAAAGAAAGATTTTTCTTAAACTTACCACAACCTCAGAGTTCCCTATGCTAAAAATGAAATTAATGAAGTATAATTTTACTAGAAAACATGTGTGCAGTGAGAGGCATTGAGAACCTAGAATTTAGGAAGTGATTCTCTCTTATTCCCCTACAGGCTGCCTCCATGGCCATCTACCTTTGGTGTCAATACTTTCTGGGGCAGCTGTTTTCCACTCTGGGACCCCTTGTTTGACAGCTCCATTTGAACCAGCATGAAATGTTCACTCCCTCCCCAGCTGCATTCTAGAACCTAGAACCTCCCAAGTCAGACCTAAGCCTGCCTTCTGGTGTTTGTGGTGGGGTTATCTAGTTCCCACCCTGGACTCCTGTCCAGGCCAAGAACAGCACCTTCCTCATATGCCTTGGCTCCCAGCACCCACCTCCTCCTGCCTGTGCTCTCAACATAGCACTAGTATGGTGGAACCCCGAGACAATTGGATCCTAGACATGAACATGGTATTCACAGGGTGGTCGGACCAACACCAAGCATAGTTGTTTCTGGTGACGTACAGACCACGCAAACCATGTCTTTATTTATGCCACTAAGCCTGCGTTAGTTCCCTTACCAAACGCAGAATCTGATCAGCTCCTATTGAGCTAGCTGCCTCCCAGCACCCTCCGGTCATCTTCACATGTATAGTGGCCAAGGAAAGCTTTTCTCATTCTTCCCTCATAACAGTGGCTTCTTTGTTCAATATAGCCATGGTAACTTTATTTTTATCTCTGTTTTTTTGCCAGGACACTGGATCATAATCTGACAATAAGGAGAAATTCCAACCTGGAGGATTTGACCACAGAGGAAAGAACGTCCTGAGAGTTCTCTTTCAGAAAGAATGAAGGGATGTCCCCGGGGCCAAGAATCAAAAGTTATGTTCTTGACCTCCACCCTCTCTGGCTGTCATGCTCCTTGTCAGTGACATGGAATTTACTTCACCATGCTCTTGTAGTACTATAGGAAGGGGAGAGGGCTTTCCAGAGAAGAGAAAGCCTCCTCTCCTTCTAATCTTCAATGGATAGCTGAAAGATACTGTACAATTTCAGGAACTTTTCCCATAAAACCGCACTGACTTTCAGGAAATTAGCTCTCCTGTCACTAGCTAGTGGGAACCTCAGTTCACCACTCACTGGTGTGTAAGAAACACTATGTTTTTAATTTTCCCTAAATCCAGTTCTAAATCTCTGTTAGTTTCCTAGGGCTGCCATAATGAAGTGCCACAGACTGGGTGGCTTATACAATAGAAATGTCTCACAGTTCTGGAGTTCATAGTGTTCTCCCCATGTGCCTATTTCTGTGTCCAAATTTCCCTTCTTATAAGGACACAGTCATATAGGGCCCACCCTAGTGACTTCATTTTGACTTGTGACTTAACTTTTTTAACTTCATAACTTCATAAAGACTTCATTTCCAAATAAGATCACATTCTGTAATACTAGAGGTTAGGACTTCAAAATATCTTTTTTCGAGGGGACACAGTTCAACGCGTAGCAATTTCCATCCTGCCAAGTTAGCAGGAAACCCAATCTTGACTAACATTAGCTCCCTCTCCACCATACCCACATACTCTCCAGCCCAGAACTGAGCTTCTGATGTTTTTGGCCAACCCTAAGCACCTGGGAGATCCCCGTCTTTCATCGTTCCTGCTTGCTACTGAGTGCCCAAGCTTGCATGGTGTCTCCGAGTCAGAAGCTAACCAGCCGTGCTCTGCTTGAAGGCCCAAAACTCTTTGTCATCACTGGCAATTCCAGTGTCCAGGGAGTCGGCTGGGCAACCTGGCACCCTCCATAGGCATCCTTTCTGAATACTGGCACTTCACCAGGGACCTGGGGTCTTGCTAGTCTTGACCCCATCAACCTCTTTCCTTGTACTTCTTAAAGCCCCTAAAGGTATCTCCTCAGGTGGTCCCAGAAGAAACAGAGCCATGACATTAAGCAGATTTATCTTCAGACCTTCCCTGAGGAGAGGTCACTCAGAGCCTTGCTTACTTACATGAAATGGAGAGAGGGGGAAAAACATTAGATGAATGACAAAGCTTGTATATCAGTGGATTGTCCTGCCATGCTTCTAACTGTATGCCCAACAAATAAGCCATAGGCCAATTCGCCAAGAGAAACCTAGCTGGCTGGGAACCTCAGCCCTGAACATGGTCTCCCACTTCTCTTCCACACTCAGTTCCTACTGATGCTTGCCTACCTGAGCAGGTGTTGCTGGGACCTGCAGGTGGCTAAGTGTGAGTGAGTTTTGCTGGGGTCTCCAAAGTCAGAGTCACCTACTGGGAATTGGACACAGAGGGCAGAGCTAGAACCAGAAAGGGACAGTTTAAGAAGAAGTTGAGGGGTCTGTAGTCTCTCCTGAAGAAGAAAAAAGTGACCGTATGTTTGGGCAGGGGCACTGTGGTATAAGAAATATATTTGGTCTTTGTCTCCAGTTCCTGTCACAGAGCTCCTAAAACCTGGGAATTTCCTGAGTTACAGGGATGGCTTTTGTTATAAAGAGCTCCTTCATAAAGAGCTTCTTGTGGTCTCACCTGAGTTTATGCTAATAAGGTAACTTAAAATGGAGTTCCTAGATAGCCTAAGGATGTTTTTGGTCCTAGAAAGACCGAGGAGGATGGGCTCCATCACCAGAAAAAACTAGTGGTTAGAGGGTTGGAACTTCCAGCCCCACCTACCAGCCACCCGGAAGGGTAGTAGGGCCTGGAGATTAAGCTCTGTAAAAACTCTTGATGGGAGAGATTTGATGAGCTTCCGGATTGGTGAACACCCAGAGAGGCCATGGGAGCTCTGCACCCCAGCCCCCATACCTTGCTCTGTGCATCTCCTCCCTCTGGCTGTTCCCGAGTTTCATCCTTTATAATAAACCTGGTAAAAGAAGTGTCTCCCTGAGTTCTGTGAGCAGTTCTAGCAAATTATTCAATCTGAGGAGGGGGCTGTGGGAACCCCTGATTCATAGCTGGTCAGTCCGAAGCATGGGTGGCCTAGGACTTGAGACTGGTGTCTGAAGTGGGGCAGTCTTGAGACTGAGCCCTCAGATCTGTAGAATCTGACGCTAACTCCAGGTTGTCGGTCGTCAGACTTGAATTCAGTCGTAGGGCACTCATGTGGCATCCGGAGGGTTGGAAAAATCATTGGTATGGAAAAAACCTAGGCATGTGTTGTCAGAGTGTTCTGGGTAAAAATAGTCCAGGCTCACCCTGACCCCAAAAGGCCAAGAGGAGCAGACTGGTGGATTGAGGTATCCCTGTGCTTGAGATAGAATTGTGTGGAGGACAGAGAGGGTCCCTCTGGGGCCCCTAAGGCTCTGATGGCCCTTGTCACTTAGGTCCACAGGGACAGAGACTCCTTTTTTCTTTCACTGTCTGTGAGATTCCTGGCACTGAGGAAAGTCCACAGAGAATGGTAGCTCCATATGAGGCAGCCCAGCAGCTGACAGGATAGAAGGCAGAACCACACCACAAGAATACCTTGTAGGGACACAGCTCGGCTCAAGGAGGCCAAGAGCACCAAATCAGAAGTAGTAAGTGCCCTTAAGGACGGCTTGCAGCGCATTTGTACGTGTGTGTGTGCGCGCACACACGGAGCTTAACGCACATGCGTCTCAAAAGTTGAAAATGCAGCAGATGAATCAAAAGAAATTGTAGTCATTGTGAGATTGGAATTAGTGCCCTGGAAGATTAAGCGCAAGAACTGTCTCATTAACCAATTTGCTGGATTCAAAACACCCCAGATCTGTTGTATTTCTCTGTGCCCATAGGAGTAACTAGAAAATATATTTTTTTAACGGTGGCTTTTACAACTACGTCAAGAGAACATCAGATACCTGGGAAGAAATCTAACAAAGGATGTTCGAGGCTTCTGCAGTGAGAACTATAACACATCACTGAAAAAAATTAAAGGAGACCTGAGCAAATGGATGGATCTGCAAAGTTCATGGAAAGGAGACCTCAATATTGTTAAAATGTCATTTATTCGAAATTGTTTTATAGATCTGAAGTAATCTCAATTAAGATACCAAGATTTTTATGTAATTGGCAAGCTGATTCTAAACATTCATTGGGAAATCCTCCCCTTAAGAGTACATAAGAGTTTTAATTATTCCAAAATCTCATCAACCCTTGGCATTGTCTGTCTTTTGATTTTATCTTGTTTTATTTAATTTTATTTTATATTACAGGGATATTTATCATTTTGTATGGGAATTCCTAAGGGGAGTAAATCTGTGGTAAATCCCTCCAGGGGTGGATGGAGAGGGTACCCATCCTGAGTGCGCATTCTCTTTGTTTCTGCAGATGGACGATGGCGGAGTTCAGGGTGAGCTGTCCAAGAGACCGTGTGTCACACAGCAAGTGAGAGATTTGAGGTGAGGGATTGGGAGTCCTGAGTGGGTGAAAGGTGAGTGGCAGGGTATTGCCTTAACATGCCTTCCATTTCCCTGGGGCCTCTTCTGCCAAGAGATGCCACCACCCACTCAAAGTTCTCAAACCCAGAAAGTACTGATGACAGATGTTTCCATGAGTGATTCTCAGCTGGGTGAGTGTTGGTGTGGCAAGGGATAGAGCTTTTTCCAACTACATGTGTGCCCTTCTTTTCCTCCAAAGATCCTTGATCAGCCACTTAGAATCATCACCCTTTCTCAGAGCCCCATGGAACCTGGTGGGAAAGCCATTCGCCCAGGCGTGTTGGGACAGCAAAATGACTGAGAACCAAGGCCCACATGGGTGATCTCAGTGACTCCCAAAATGTGGCTTTCTCAAGGCTCCAGGAGAATTAGAATGCCAGTAAACCCACCTGTGGCATCCACTGACATTGAACCCAAGGATGGCTTCCCGGATTGCTAAGAAACTCCCCCGTTGTCTTTGGCTTCTCCAAAATGAAGAAATTGGGGTGAAGTAGCTCTCGGTGTCTGTTTCCTGCAAGCATTCTCTGACAAGGTCTCTGTCTGGTGTGAGTCTTGTGAAACAACTTGAGAGTGTTACACAGTCCGAGACATTAAGCTTAAGATGATTTAAAAAATTCTGTACATTGTCAAGCTTTTCATTGTCCTACGTGTATTTTTCAGAATATTTTATCTCTTCTCAGTAACACCTTTCTGTACTAACTTCTAGGAAAACAACTGCAAGGTGATAATATGTAAGTGATTCATAAACTGCAGGGTACTACATAAATATTGGCGCCTCCACAATAAGGTGCCTTCAACTTACAACTTGGTGAAGGAAACTAATGCGCGAACCCTCGTGCTTTCCTGTGTCAGTCTCCAAGTTCAAGCCAGCTATGCACTGAAATTTAGTTTAAGTGAATACCAGAGAGAGAGGATTCAGGGAGGGTGAAGAAACCGTGATGAGGATCCTCAGTGCTTCTTGGAGGCACTGAAATGTGAAATAACCTTTGGAAAGCCTGCGAGGTGACTTGGTATTTTTCCACCCCACTGAAGCTGAAAGGTTAATGAGTTTGCCGTGTATGTAAGAACCAGACCTACAGTTTAGACGTGAGGGCTGGATGCCCCACACTCCCAGCTCCGGAGCAGAAGTGGGATGGGGGGGTACTCTCTCTTTGTGGGGGTTACCCACCCACAGGGGCAGAGCTCCGGGAGAGGCTCCCTTGCACGTGTCTTTCCAGCCCCTACCTTTGACCCCCTGTCACCCCCAAGGATATGCCTCTGTGGTGTTTGGCCCAGGGGCGCCTTCCAGGCCCTGCGCAGGTCCCGCCGCTCTTCCTGCTGGTGACCGCAGTGGGTGCCACGCTGGCACTGGCGTTCCTTTCTGGCTCGTCCTTGTCAGCGCTGCCGCCCTCCCTCACAGACGTGGAAATTCTGAGAAGAAGCGTCCATTTACCGGGGATGCGGCCTCGCCCTCCAGACTGGCTGGCTCTGGGATGGGGCAGCCCTGCCAGGCTCGTCCTCTCTGCTCCGAGCGAGGCTCCAGAGGTGAATGAATCTGTCAGAATGTGCTCTTCGGGGAAAACCAGTGCTCTGGTTTTCAGCCTCCTGTGAAAGCTGATGCTTGAGTCCTTCCCAGCCCCGGAGCTGATAAAGGAACTCGCCATTTTCTTCTCTTGGCCTGCAGGAACTACGATTGTCCACGCTGGCTGCACAGTAGAATCACCCAGGGTGCTTTAAAAAATACTCGTGTAGGTCCTACCCCCAGGCCAGTTAAATCCGACTCTGTCAGGGTGAGCTTCTGGCATGAGTGTGTTTGAATCCTCCCCAGCGGCTCTGGCGGGCGGCCGGCGGTAAGAAGCACGGTGGGCAAAGTACCCCAACGGCTCTGAGAACACAGGGCCCATCAAAAACGCTGTGCCAATCCCCACTGCCCCCAAAGCGCTGTTGAGGATGCGTTGTCATTACCCTTCAGGTTCCCAGAGTGGCTATCCTAAGCCACTGTCATGTCGTCATGCTCCCTCCTCTGCCCTGACCTCTGACCTGCCCAGCACATGATCCAGCCCCTCGCCCACCGAGTCCAACTCCAGATGCCCACCTTGGCCCCAGCCTCTGTCTCTTGTCCCAACGCTGTACTCGGGTTTGTGGAGCCTCAGTAGATGCACAGCACGGGGCTCAGGACAAAGCCAACCCTACATCTTCCTCATCAAGCCCTTCCCTCCACCTCGCCCTTCTGGGGTGGGGTCTCCAGCGAAAAGGCCCCTCACCCCTCACGCCCGGCCAACGTGGACATGCCCGGCCCATGGCGCTCACCGCCCGGGTCTGTAGCAATGCTGACGCTGTGTGGGCTTGAAGAACACAACTCCCAGGGTGGGGCCATGGCCTCCTCTCCTTCTACCTGCAGGTGCCCTATCTCAGGGCATGTGCACATCAGAGTTGTCTAAGGGAATGGCATCTGGCTCCCTGGCTCCACGGCTCCAGGCATCACTGCGAGGGACGCCGACATGAATCAGAGCAGGTTCTAGAATCAGTAGTCAGTTTGTGGTGCAGGCTCATCAAGGATGAGCCCCTTCCATAACTGATCAACACAGGGATCACTGGTGCAAGTACGCCAGGGGGGCCCTACCATGGCTGGATCTCTTGGCTCCCCACAGAGGCTCCCCCCCGCCCCCGGTTGTTTCTGAGAGCAATCAGGGTATTGTCACAGGAGTTCCTGGGAAAGACCCTGCTCTGGGTTGAACTGTGCTCCTCGCTAAATTCATATGTTCGAGTCCTACCCCTCCGTACTTCAGAATGTGACCTTACTTGGAAATAGGGTCTTTGCCGATATAATTACTTTAAGATGAGGTCGTTCCTGGATTAGAGTAGACCTCAATCCAACTGGTGTCTTTATAAGAAGAGGGAAATTGGACACAGAGACCCAGACACCCAGGGAGAAGACCCTGTGACAAGGGCAGAGACTGGAGCACCGCAGCTGCAAGCCAAGGAGCACCAAGGATCACGGACAGCCCCCGGGAGCTGGAAGAGGCAAGGAAAGGTCCTCTCCCTCGTGTTTCAGAGGGAACACGGCCCTGCCGACACCTGACTTCTGATTTCTAGATTCCAGAGCTAGGAGAGGATGAGCCACCTGGCTTGTGGTACTTTGTCATGGCAGCCCTGGGAAACCACGACAAGAGTTCACCCCCAGCCCAGCTGTCAGTTTCTCTCTGAGTGCATTTCTAGGGGTTCAGATGCTCCACATGTCAGCAACCGAAACCCCATCTAATTGGCTGGAGCAGCTAGGGGATTTTTTTTTTCTGTATCTTAAGTTGCTTGATAGAAAGAGATACCCCTGTCAATAGTTATCATCAGATGAGTATATGAGCCTGGGGAATTATACACGGGGATACGTGTTGCTGGGGCAGGCGGGAACGGCCTTATAATCCCAGACAGAAGACTCTGCCTTTCATCTAAAAGTGTGCATTCAGCTTACTTCATAGCTTTCCTAGAACAAAACGGTTCTGTACACCTGTGTCTTGGAAGTAGATTTTGCAGTGGATGCAGCTTCAAACATGACGTACCAGGTTGAGCCACTTGAGGCGAAAAGCCTCTCAGCAGTTCTTGGAATCCAGTATCTTCTTCCAAGATTTCAAAATTCTTAGAGCTGAGTTGTAGCCGGGGCATCCAGTGTGTGTGTGTGTGTGTGTGACAGTTTAATATAGCCTTGGTAAAATTTGTAAAATAGTCTGGAATTTTGTCTTCAAACAGTAACTCACCAATTCTTTTTGCAGTTCACTTCTTGAGCATTGTCACCAAGGTCTATCCAGGTGGAAAAGCAGCTGAAATCAGAACACTCCTCAACGTGACCTCACCACAGAGCCACAAAAATGGTAAATTCCTGTGAGGCCAGACACCAGATACCCCAGCCTTGCAGACACTGGTGCTGTTGGGGAGAGAACCACAGGCTCTTGCTTGGGTTTCTCTCTCGAGGGAAAAAAAGCCACAAGGAGTCCTGGATGCTCAGCTCAATCAAGTTCAATGGGCATGTGTTAGATGCTAATCGATACTCAATTTTGCCACCAGGGAGGGTGCTGTTTTGAGCAGTTGCATGTCTATAGGAAATAACAGAGTGATTTATTTTTATGTTGAAAACTTCAATATTTGATATGCATTCTATCAATATGGCCTCCTCCCCCCACCGCGCCTGCCTCTAATGTTTAATTGTAATGAATTGTAGTTGCAATAAATTGAACCAATTGACATTGAAAAATGAGATAAAAAAAAAAAGAGGTAGAAAAGCATATCCTTTGTGGTCAATGTTAATCTTGCAAAGGATTTTTTTTTCTGTAAGGCCTGCCAAGAGCAGAGAAGATGAGGATAGAAAGCGATTCACTGAATCAGCAGCTCCAGGGAGGTCAGAAAGAGATGGAATCGGCCCTGCACGTTTGGCAAAGAGAAGAGAATGGAGAGGTTGGCTGGAGGGCCCCAGAAATGCATCCTGGGAGATGTGAATGAGGAGTGTGTGTGACCAAGGGGTGGTCAGGAGGATGGGTTGGGTGCCATGTGGCTTTGGGAGGGAGGGTCATCTGGGCCTCCTACGATGTGACCCCCACCCTCTCACACCTTGGCTCCCAGCAGGGCCCCTTCCCTGTCCTGGCTTAGCTTCCTATTCCAGACACAACATTCTGTGCTCCCTTCAAGTCAATAACCTCTTCAAGATGTGGCTGTTCTCGACCCACTGCACTTCTGCATGACCTGTCAGAGCCTGGAAGGATGTGTGGGACCCACCTGGTAAGGAGACTGCATCAGTGGGGTCACTCCCCTGGGGCCCCCAGCACCATGTTCACCAGACTAAGAAAGCTGGGGCTACAGGATGCTGTCAGAACTAAATCTCCCGAGACTTTCTCAAATAATCATGGCCTGGAATTATCCCAAGCATTTTGTGATTCCCCTCATGCCCCCGCTCCTTGGCCTTCAAAGAGCCCCCAGTGATGGAGAAGGGAGTCACTTATGTATCCGTGTGGCAGTTGTCACATGTCTGCTGTCTGTCTGGTATTGTCGCTTACGTCCAGGATACCTCACGAAGACAGACGAGCTTCTACTCTCCTGGAACTACAATCTGGGGAGGGAATGGTGAACACATAAATTCGATTGTTTCATGTATTGATAAAGGCTATGAGGCAATTCAAATGCAGTGACGTAGGACAGGGTGACATTGAAGAGCCCACCTCAGTTCAAGAAGACCCTTCTGCAGAGGTGAACGTCTACACCGAGGTCAGACAGGAGGCAGACAGGAGAATAAGGAAGAGTGTGAAGGGGGCCAGAGCTGTAAGGAGGGGCCTAAAAGTGGGGAGATGCATGGCTTGTTCAGTGGGATGGGACTGGAGATTCTCAGCAGGGCTGATTTTGCCCCCCACCCGGCTGACATCTGGCAGTGTCTGGAGACACTTGTGTTGCCACAGTGTGGGAGGGCGCTGCGGGCGGCTCGTGGGTAGGGCCAGAGATGGCTCTAAACGACCTACAGTGCACAGAGCAGCCTCCATAACAAAGACCTATGGGGACCAAAATGTCACCGGTGCTGAGGTCGAGGACCCCTGAAGCAGAGGGTGTACATGAAGGCGACCGCGGAAGAGCCTATGCGGGAAGGCTGTAGGGCCATTGGGTGGCCCGCCAGCGGACCACTGGGCGCTCATGAGGAGTTTGGGTTTCATTCTAGGGTGACGGAAGGCCCCTGGAGACTCCTCCTCAGGAGCCTGGTGTGGTCTCACATTTTTTCCTTTCAGTTAGGCCAATACTACCTTTGGAAAGTGATAGTGGAGGGGAAGGAAGCGGTACATAATTTACAGTGGTGGTCGTTGGGAGCATTTACTATTATCACACGCACAAATTCATGCTCGTCAAAATCAGAGACAAGGTCCAGGAGTGGACTGAACACTTTGGCAGTCGGCAGTGGCCGTTGCTCAACCTCGGGATGTTGAGAGGATCATTTAGCTTTACACTGGATCTCTACCCTTTCTGTGAGACTTCAGAGTCTAGAATAACAAGTGTGTTTCATGACTTGGGAGAAAATAGTATGCATATATTTTTAAATAGACCCTGATTGATGCATATGTTATTCTGGGCAGACTCGGTGTGTTGGGGGCTCCTTTATTTCCGCACGGTCCACACGGGCATTCGTGCACATTTTCATTCAAAACGCGGAGCTGAAGGCACTGTTTTTTGTTTGTTTGTTTGTTTTTGAGAAAAGCTATCAGTTCAGTGCCAAAAACAGGCATAGTTGAGAAGATGGAGGGGCACCGAGGAAACAGAGGAAAATGGACGTGGCTGAGAGCGACAGAAGGCGCTCCTGTCGGGTTCCCTTCTTTGCTTCCACCCTTGATTCCTGTCTCCCACCTCCTGCGCGTGTTGGTGGCACAGCGATGCCTTCCTCTGTGCATCCTGTCTGACCCCTGCATCTCAGAACACCTTCCCTTCCCCAAAGCACCTGCCATGTGTCCCATTTCCTCCTGGTCCCTAGTGTAAATGGCGAGCAACTGGGATCAAGTAATGATGACAAACTCATGAATCAGGAGCTGTTCGTGTATAACAGTTGCCATTCTCTTCTACCATCACATTTCAGTTCTGTAAAAAGTGCCCGGTGCCTGAACTGCGGGTCAAGCCCCACGGAAGTGGGGTCCCAGGAGAGGTTGAGGCAGCGTTCGTTTGACTTACAAGGTCTTTGATTGCCACGAGCTCAACGAGACAGGGGTCACAAGCTATCACACCTGTTGGAGTCAGGCAGCGAATGTAAATGAGTGAAGCCGACCCGGTGTGAGACGACGGTGCAAGGAATTGTGGTGAATTGGAGAATCAAGGTCCGTATAAATGCAGCACCTGCTACTCAGCGTCAACCCGCTTAGTAAGTCCCGCCTGCCCCTCCATCGGGACCGCACTGACTGCCCCCCACACCCAAGCCGCGAGTGCACCCCGGCTGCCTTCAGAGGAGCCCAGCACCAGGAACCCCCCCACGGTCCTCCAAAGAGGGACTGCTTCCTGCTGGCGGGGCTCGGGTGAGGGGTGAGAGAGAGCCCTGCGTTGAGGCTGGTCTTCAGGGGAAGGCTCTGGAAACCAGCAGTGTGGGTCTCCTGGGACTTCGAGGCACCTCGCAGCTGCCTGAGGAACGGCTGGCCATAAGGAAGCAAGTGAGTGCCTGCGTTTTGTTCGATGTGAACGAGTGTGTGCGGCGGGTTGGTGGCATTGGCTTGTTTCTTTTTTTCTGTGCCTCTTGTGCAAAGAACAGTAAGCTGAGAAAGCCTGGATTTTTCTGGAGCGTAGTGTCCAGGATGGGGAGCCCGAGAGGCTGAGGGCCAGCTGGAGCCTGGTACCATTAGTCCCCCTGGGCTTCCAGGAGTAGGGGCCGGATTGTCCCTCGGCCCCAGGTTGTGCTGGGAAGGCATTTGGTTCGGTGGGAAAGCTGCTGGCTCTAGCAGGAGACCTCTCCTCGGTGACCGGCTGGGAAGCCGGGGTGTACCTGGGAGCTGTGGGCTGCTCTCCCGCCAACACCCTGTGGGTCTAGGTCTGGGTGTGGCCAAACCCTGGCAGAGCTGGGCTGGGCAGGTGAAGGGGACGCCGTCTGTGGTTGGCAGAGCTGGGCTGGGCAGGTGAGGGACACGGTCTGTGGTTGGCAGGGCTGGGCAGGTGAAGGAGACACGGTCTGTGGTTGGCAGAGCTGTAGGGGCAGGTGGTGTTTGGAGAGCCTCAAACTCGGGTCTGGAGGATGCTGCGGTAGGGGGTTTGAGGGTGGCCGCAGCTGACCACACAGGGTCAGATCCTCTGGCCCCCTTATTTTCTGATTAAAAAAAAAAAAAATACACTGTAGCCCCAAAGAAACGCATGTGGGTGGCAGCCTCTTCTGTTTTTGAAACGATGGTTCTGCTGGAAAAGAACCTTCTTGGGAGCTTTCCGTATGATCTAAAACGGCCCCCCATCAGGCGGGGAGAGAGTGAAGAAGCAGCTGGCTTCTCCAGGTGGGTAGGTGGTAACTTTAATAACAGCAAAGGACGCTTGCATAGGAGTCTTGTCTTGGGCGACAGCGAGGCAAAGAGATCCCTGCGCTGCCCTCCAAATCTTGTCTGTAAAAGGCCCTAACTGGGCTCAGTCATGTGTGCCCTGCAGGTATTTTCAACCTCCCAGCACCATCTCAAGCCTGGGTCCTCCTCTCTGAGGCCAGGGAGGAGGGGTGGGAGGGGAGGAGCCTCCACGTGTCCAGGCCCCGCCGCCCCGTCAGTCAGCGGTCAGGTCTCTTTGATCACGTTCCCGACAGGGTGGTACTAGGAGGGAACCTCTCCAGAAGCCCAGACGAGCGAGCAGGGTAGCTCGGACAAGCCGAGGAGAAGGATAGGAGTGGGTGGTTTGGGATACGTTGTTGTTGGGGTTTTTTTTTTTAGATTTTATTTGACGGCGAGGAGCAGCAGAGGGAGAGGGAGAAGCAGGCTCCTGGCTGAGCAGGGAGCCTAAGTCGGGGCTGGATCCCTGAGCCGAAAGCAGACGCTTAACCAACTGAGCCACCCAGGCCCGCCTGGGATGTTTTCAAGATGAAACAGAACTGTTGAATTGGCTGGCGGGAGTGGTGAGGGAAAGAGAAGTCAGGAGGATTCCCGGGCATTTGGCTGGAGCAACTGCATGGATGATTTTCATGTTTTTGTAATAAAAACTAAGAAAAGATTCCTTTGGGGGTAGAAAAGCACAAGTTCTGTATTGGACAGGATGCGTTTCTGACACTTATTAAATATGCATATGCAGAGATAGAGGGAAGATGCTCAAAACATAATTAAAAGGATATCGAATATAGCCTAATCATAATCACATTTAAAAATAGTGCTTAGAAAACTGGAAGGGAATAAAATGGTAATGTGTTAGTGAGGAGATGGGTCATCTCATTAACGTTCCTATCTTTTCTAATTTTTGTGTGCATTTTATAGTCAGGAAAAAATCATTACTGGTTATATTAAAATGTGTTCATGGCTTCTGGGGTGTGTGAGAGAGCCTTGTTCCATTTCCAGGACCTTTGTAAAGATGTGCTAAATAAGTGTACCAATTAAAAAGCCAACAAGCTTACGGAGTTTGCAAAGTTGGTGCATTCTTTTATATATAATAAATACTTCGGAAGCTTATAATGTGCCAGGTGTGGGGCAAGCCCCTGAGATACGAATATTGGTAAGTCAAGGTCTCCTCTTCAAGGAGTTTCCAAGATGAGAGGTGCCCATTTAAAAATCTTGGAATGAGAAAAGAATGTTGTAAACAAGGGGCCCCCCAAATCCTTAAAGATGAATACTTTTTATCACCACTTTAAACCTTTTTCAGGATCAAACTATCAACCAAATGGAAAAGGGTTCCTAAGTGGGGTCCCAAATACTTTTTTTTTTTTTTAAGGTTTTATTTATTTAGTTGACAGAGACACAGCGAAAGAGGGAACACAAGCAGGGGGAGTGGGAGAGGGAGAAGCAGGCTTCCCGGGGAGCGGGGAGCCCAATGCGGGCTCGATCCCAGAATCCTGGGATCATGACCTGAGCCGAAGGCAGACACTTAAGGACTGAGCCACCCAGGCGCCCCCCAAGTACTTTCTTTGCAAAACCTGTCCCATACCTTTAAAGTTCTTAAATTTTTTTATTCAAGCATAATTAACAGTGTTATATTAGTTTCAGGTGTATATTTCAACAATTCTACACATTACTCAGTGCTCATCACTAAATGAACTCTTAATCCCCTTCACCTGTTTCACCCATCCCCCACCCGGCGCTGCTCTGGTAACTATCGGTTTGCTCTCTATTCCTGAGTCTTTTTTCCTTGTTAAATTCCACGTATGAGTGAAATCATATGGGATTTGTCTTTGACTTATTTCACTTAGCATTATACCTTCTAAATCCATCCATGTTGCAAATGGCAAATGGCAAGATTTTTCTGAAGGTCTGGCAGTAATCCTTCTGTCTCCAGTGGGCTCTATAAGATGGTAATGGAAGACACCAGAACTTTCCTGAAAATGGTTTGAAGTGCTCAAGGCTTACCTCAGAGTTCTATTTCCTCCTCCTATATAAGAGCAGCTCCCTATCCATAAATTGCATGGGACTTGACAGATCTCTTCCACAGTGAGGAGACCTCTTCAATGCTCTCTAATCTCCTGAATCCTCCCCGAGTACAGCCCACCTCCCAGCCCCCACGCGCTCCCCTGAGAAGCCTCCCCTTCCCTGGACCTCACTAGGGCAGTGAGGCCACGATTGTGTCACTAACGAGAGACCGCCCCCCCATCCCAAACTTTCTTCCTGTTTTTTTTAAATTTAATTTTGCAAATCACATCATTCTAGAATGAAAAGGTCCCAAACTATCGGTTTAACCCCTGAAGCACTTCCAGGGAGACAGGCAGCTAAATGCGATGGAAAACTGCTACTCGCCCCAACGCGAGCTTTTGTTTGACTACTGATTAATCGGGGGGATTGATCGATTACCACAGTGCTGTCCTGGGAGTGGAAGATGACAGCTGGAAGCGACCCAAGCCTTGTGTCCACAGCGTTCTCTTAAAAACTGAGGTCCCCGGGGCCCACGGGACCTGCCCAGATTCCCACTGTTGGCTCAGAGCCAGCCGGGACCCCGGCTCCTGTTCACACGGCGGTTCTAACCCAAGGGTTGCGAACTTCTACTCCTCAGTGAAAACAACAACAAAGCTGGAGCCAGCAGAGGTGTGGTCCACGTATGTATTCTGTCACACGCACACAGGATGACGATGGTCTCATCCGTGTGATGGATGATCAGACCGTTTGGGAGCCAGCCAGCCTGGGTTCGAACCTCCCCCCCCCCCCCCCCCGGCGCTTCCCCGCGGTGACCCCAGGCTCCTCCTTGGATCCCTCCGAGCCTCACCTGCTGCTTGCATAAAAGAATAGCCTTACCTCCTTAGGGCTGTTGCAAGATTAAGTGGGACACTGTGCGTTAAACATTTGGGGTGGGGTCTGACCCTTCTTTAAAACCGTGCAAGAAGATGAAGCCTTGCAACTTCCACAAGGGAAGTTCCGCTAGTTCCGCACGCGCCTGGGGGAGACCCCAGCGTTCCCCAGTCGTTGTCCTCAGCCAGCAGAGGCAGAAAGGGACCTCTTCACTAGGCTGTGTGCAGTGGCGCTGGGAGCCCCTCTGGTGCCAACCCTCTCCACAAGCTCCCCTCCCCCCCCCAGCCCTGCAGCAGGTGTCCATGGAGCGTATTCAATCAGGCCACATCTCTCTCCTCTGCCAAGAAGATTCCTACTCACCGAGAACTCCTGAAGGGGGTGCCTGGTCCAATCTGTCTTTGGCTCAGTGAGGAACGAGATAACCCCAGTGGGCTCCCAGGCGCCTGCCCACTGGGGGGACAATGACAGACGTTCATGAAAGGCCTAAATCGGCTAACTCTCCAGATTGCAGTTTCCACTTGTTTCTGGATGATTTACTTGATATTTATTGATCTTGGAGTATGTGAAATGGCCTGTTGGACACCATAAGCAAATCAAAAGTCACAGGGACATGCCTCACCAGGGTCCTAGGCAGTTCATAAGAATTCCCTGGGGCCAGGGTGAAGCCAGGAGTGTGGTGGTTTGTGGGGGGAGGGGGGTGCTTAATAGGACATTTTCCCCAGTTCCAAAGAACTATAGGTATTAAATTGAGCCATTGGAAACTGTGGCTATGCAGCCAATTTTTAGTCTACCAAAACAACGGAAAAGGGTTTAGCCTGATACCAGCACCAGTGCTGTCTGAGGTCCCAACAGCAGGAGGAACGATTTGAGCCCCTGCCTCCCGCCCATCTCTGTGCCAACCACCTGGAAAAGACCTGCTCTTCTCTAACACCCCCTGGCCTCCCCTATGTCTGCAGGCTTGTTCAGAGCTTGAGCTGCCTGGCTTCAGCCAGGAGGAGGCTTCTTCCAGCTGTGGCAATCGGGTTCCTTGTACTCCCTCTTAGGAGGGTTTGCCCCTCTCCCTTCCTTCCGGGAGCCCCAGTTCTCAGCTGTCCCCAGCAGGGGGCGCTCTCTGCACCAGAGCAAGGAGGGCGTCTACCTCTAAGTGCCGCTGGGGGCCATCATCTGGCTGATGATGGGGATCGATAATCAGAGCCACACGGACACAAACCACATTCTCCATTACCAGCTTTAACCAAAAAGAAGATCTTTTTGCCCCTCCTGCTTAT